TATATATATATATATATATATATATATATATATATATATGATAGGAAAAGTACAACATATCTGGGCTAAAATGTAAATAATTAAATGTGTCTGTATTTTCAGGTCATGTGTATGTCTGAAAATAAAATCCTCACTCAGTGTTTTGACCGAGAAGAACTCACAGACAAGAAACGCCCAGAGACGGTATCTATCTATCTATCTATCTATCTATCTATCTATCTATCTGTCCGTCTGTCTGTTCGTCCGTCTATCTGTCCGTCCATCTATCCATCTATCTGTCCGTCTATCTATCTATCTATCTGTCCGTCTGTCTGTTCGTCCGTCTGTCTATCCGTATGTCTATCTGTCTATCCGTCTGTCTGTCTGTCTGTCCGTCCATCCGTCCGTCCGTCTGTCTCTCTATCCGTCTGTCTCTCTGTCCGTCCGTCTGTCTATATGTCTGTCTATCTGTCTATCTGTCCGTCCGTCCGTCTGTTCGTCCGTCTATCTATCAGTCTTTCCATCTATCTCTCTATCCGTCTGTTGCTCTATCCGTCTGTCTGTCTATTTGTCTGTCTGTCCGTCCGTCTGTCTGTCTGTCTGTCTGTTCGTCCGTCTATCTGTCAGTCTGTCTATCTATCCATCTGTCCGTCCGTCCGTCTGTCTGTTCGTCCGTCTATCTGTCAGTCTATCTGTCTTGTCTGTCTGTCCGTCCGTCCATCCATCCATCCATCCATCCATCCATCCATCCATCCAATACTGCTATTTCTAGAAGGCTATATGTATATTGTGTCAAATGTTATTGTTTACCTTTAAGCAGGACCATAAACAACAAAAATTTGTTTGTGAATCAGTTCATAGTAGCATTTATATGTAAACCACAACAGCTTGGCCTCAGTCCATGAAATTGCAAATCTCTGCTTGCCACCCACGCTGTGAGGAATGCCCTGACACTGTGGTACCTCTTCACTTCATGTGACTGCGTACAGTCCTGATTCCCCCCCAATCTCAGTGCCTACTCTGCACAGCTCCATTGGCCGAGTGTGGGTGGGCTGCTGTTTAGTTGTTTGCTTGCATTGTTGACCACTGGCTTCTCCCACATTGTCACTGCCTGGCTGTACTTGCACACTGTGGCTTGTGTTCTTGCTTATTTCTCACTGCCCGTCTGTTTTTCTTGTTCTCTCATTCTGTTGACTCGCTGGGACCAGGCAGCAACCCAGTTCAAGAACAGCCTGGCGAAGCTGATGGAAATTCTGATGTCTAAGGAACCGTCTTACGTGCGCTGCATCAAGCCTAATGATGCCAAGCAAGCAGGTTTGTGAACAATTTTTTGTACTTGAGTTTTAGTGCTGTTTATCACTTAGAAATGATTATTTTTCTCATTTCTCATTTGAATCAGCTTATTCCTTTCAGCTGTTCCCTTACCATGGGGACAGTATTTTTATGCTTTTGTATGGCAGTATTATGGTAGTTTGATGCATTCCATGTTTCTGAATTATTGCAATATTCATGTAAGATTGTATTTATGTGGCACTCCAAGGTATGTAGAAAATATTGTATTATTATAGGACATGAGAATTATTAGTATTATAATTTATTGTAAAAGTTATCATGTATTGTTGCATTTATTGGTCATATTTTTGGTACATTCTATCTATCTATCTTGAGTATTTATATGTATTGTGAGTTTATTTGTGCAGTTTTTTTCTTCTCCATGTGATGTAATGGATTCATTGTTCAAACTGCAGTCATTCGTTCCCTCACTGATTCTCTCTTACTTCATCAGCTCTTTTGTTTTGCCCTGGTCTTTTGTTGATATTTGTTAGCGTCTTTTGTTTGTTAATAAGCTCTTATCCTCATAAATAGTGGCAAATCTATAGTTTCATACATACAGTATATTAAATTTTACGAAGCCTTGTTAAACTGAAGTTTATTTTTCTCTACAGGGCGTTTTGATGAAGTCCTCATCAGGCACCAAGTAAAATATCTTGGTCTGATGGAAAACCTTCGGGTGAGGAGAGCTGGCTTTGCATATCGCCGTCGCTATGAGACCTTCCTGCAGAGGTTGGCATCTACATGGCTGGAGAATATAAAAACTTGTTTTGATGCTGGTCTTATAATGGCACATCCTGGTTATTATTTCAAGTGTAACCATGTTGGGTCACCAAACATACCTCATAACGGTAACCCGCAATATGTTTTTAACTCGTAGTTCATGTTAGCCTGAACCCAATTTAGCTGATTTAGGCTATTTTTCAGCAAGGCTCTCACGAAAAGCTTTTATGTAACTCTTCACACTTTCTAATCCTCTTTTAAAAGCTCAGCACTTCCTGAGTGATAATTAAGGTCAAAGGGAACAAGGAGTGTGTTGAAAACAGTGATTCCTCTTTCTGCTTAAAATGTAGTTGAGTTTTGTGGGTAATGCTTGTGCTTTCCTGTTTTAGGTATAAATCCCTGTGTCCAGACACCTGGCCAAACTGGGATGGCCGTCTGGTCGATGGCGTTTCCACACTCGTCAAGCACCTCGGCTACAAACCTGAGGAGTACAAACTCGGCCGGTTGGTTACACAAATAAGTTTTTAAAAATGCTCATTTTTATTCTATTAGTATTAAAAAATCTTTCTGTGGTTCCAAAAAAGATGAAGGCCATTTTCTTTCTTTTAAAGAACCAAAATCTTCATCCGCTTCCCCAAAACCTTGTTTGCAACCGAAGATGCACTAGAAGTCAGAAAACACAGCCTTGGTATGAGCCATATTCAAATACATATCATGTAACTCTTCACTGGATGGTCTGCCTAACCTTAACCTCCACAAACTGTTCTTCATGCACAGCTACCAAACTGCAGTCATCCTGGAAAGGCTACAGTCAAAAAACCAAATACCGTAAAATGCGACAATCAGCTGTCAAGATCCAAGCCTGGTGGAGAGGTATTCTGGCCCGCAGAGAAGCAAAGCGTAGGAGAGAGGCTGCCAACACCATCCGCAGGTCTGTGTGCATGACATGACATGACTAGTACAATAATCAGTATGGCATCACATGTGTCTCATGTGTTCTGCCCAGTGAGAGAGCTTATGCTCACTTTTGTTTTTATCGTCTATGGTCACTGTTACAGGTTCATCAAAGGCTTCATCTACCGCCACCAGCCACGTTGCCCAGAGAATGAATACTTCCTGGATTACGTTCGCTACTCATTCCTAATGAAGTTGCACAGGAGCCTGCCCAAAACTGTTTTGGATAAGAGCTGGCCAACGCCACCTCCCGCCCTCATTGAGGTGAGATATATCAGTCATGAATCAGTCACCAGTACAATCATGGACTCCTCTATGAGATGAGAGATTATGCCTTCCTTTCGTTCACAGGCTTCAGAGCAGCTCCGCAAACTCTGCATGCAGAACATGGTGTGGAAGTACTGCAAGAATATCAACTCTGAATGGAAACACCAGGTGTCCCATTATATTTTATTTTATTTCATTTTGCTTTTTGTTTTGTGTATTGTTGGGCTACTGTACTGAAAAGTACCTGTTGATACATTGTGCATGGTTAAATATTTTATTTTTTATTATAAATAATTTTTCTTTATTATGAATTATAATTTATTATTAGTTCAATTTTGTATTTTTTTTATATTAGATTATTTATTAGTTTATTTTGATGGCTAAGTTACTGGAAAACAAGCTTTATTATCTGTTATTGCAGTTGGAGCAGAAGATGGTTGCAAGTGAAATCTTTAAGGACAAGAAGGACAACTACCCACAAAGCGTCCCAAAACTTTTTGTGGGCACAAGGCTCAGTGAGTTTTCAGCCTCAGTTTGGAGACTTCAGGAGACCTCGGTTTGGATTTCCTGTGTTGTATATTGTAATGTTTTTTTTTTTTCTGTGTATGTCAAAAGGTGGCGAGGACATCAACCCTAAATTGCAACAGGCTGTGGGGAATGAGAAGATGAAGGTTGGTTAAATTCTGGGATGTTTGTTTGGGAAATCTCTCTTTATTGTGGTTGAGACTGTGGTTCACAACTCTTTTTGTGTACATCCTCTCATTTTACATGACTGAATGTGTGATCTCTTACACATTACTTCATTTCTCAGTGTTTTCTCAGACAGCATACAGTACTATACTATGTTTGGCCAGAGGAGAACAGGCCACCGATTGAGCCTGGTTTCTCCCAAGGTTTTTTTCTATAGCGTTTTGGTTCCTTGCCACTGTTGCCTTTGGCTTGCTTAGTTGGGGACACAATTTCTGGCAACATTGTTGACTTGACTGCACAGACACTATTTGAAGACAACTGAACTGAGCTGGACGATGATATCACTGAATCAACAATGAACTGACTTTAACTGATAAACTGACAGTTTTCTATTGTCCTCTCGCGTTATCAGCACACGTTTTTCTTGTTTAACACAGTAAAGCTGCTTTGACAATCTGTATTATACAGTATATAGCGCTATATAAATAAAGGTGACTTGACTTGACTACTATACATGACAGTGTGTGAAGCATCAATGATTATAGACGGTATGTGAAGAAGAAAAGTGATTCTGCTAATATAATCCATCCTTCCCCACAGTATGCACAACTCTTTTTGTGTACATCCTCTCATCAGTCTCTCCAAAAAAGCCAGAAATCTGTCATTTTACATGACTGAATGTGTGATCTCTTACACATTACTTCATTTCTCAGTGTTTTCTCAGACAGCATACAGTACTATACTATGTTTGGCCAGAGGAGAACAGGCCACCGATTGAGCCTGGTTTCTCCCAAGGTTTTTTTCTATAGCGTTTTGGTTCCTTGCCACTGTTGCCTTTGGCTTGCTTAGTTGGGGACACAATTTCTGGCAACATTGTTGACTTGACTGCACAGACACTATTTGAAGACAACTGAACTGAGCTGGACGATGATATCACTGAATCAACAATGAACTGACTTTAACTGATAAACTGACAGTTTTCTATTGTCCTCTCGCGTTATCAGCACACGTTTTTCTTGTTTAACACAGTAAAGCTGCTTTGACAATCTGTATTATACAGTATATAGCGCTATATAAATAAAGGTGACTTGACTTGACTACTATACATGACAGTGTGTGAAGCATCAATGATTATAGACGGTATGTGAAGAAGAAAAGTGATTCTGCTAATATAATCCATCCTTCCCCACAGTATGCTGTTCCAGTGACTAAATATGATAGAAAAGGATACAAAGCACGCAACCGACAACTCGTGCTCATGGCAGACAGTGCCATCATTGTGGAGGAGGCCAAGCTCAAACAGCGTATCGACTACAGCTCACTGAAAGGTGAGAAGAAGGACGGAGAATGACACAGCTTAAACTGTTTTTACGCTGAGTATGATTACGTTCATACCAGTTGTAAGGCGCACCATTCGCATGAAATGAACCAGAGACAGCGTTTTTAAGCAGATTTGAATGCTTTATTCAGAATTTTGTTCAAATCCAGTTGGAAAAGCCACTTTTTCCTCAAATTCAGACATTCATGCCAAAAGCTCTAGTGGGAAAACACCCATTGGGAAAAAAAAAACAAGTGAATCACAACAAAGTAAAAAGTGACACACTGACCACTTCTGTTTTATCTGTAGGGATTTCTGTCAGCTCTCTGAGTGACGGCATGTTTGTTCTCCATGTTGCTTGTGAAGACAATAAGCAGAAAGTAAGTCTGGAGATCAGTTATTTGCTTTTAATTTCCTTAAGCGCTAAACCAACTGCTTTCAGAGTGAATATATGAACTGTATTGGTGTCACAGGGTGACGTGGTGCTTCAGAGTGAGCATGTCATTGAGACGTTAACCAAAGTGGCCATCTGCGCTGACAAGATGAACAGCATTAACATTAACCAAGGAAGGTCAGTGGTAGACATAAAATTATTATTTTTTTTAAATAAAGCTTAAGTTTCAAGGCAAGACTTGTGTAAATCTCAGAATTTCGTTTATGAAATGATTATACTTTATTAATAAAAACTATTGCTTTCCCTTGCATGGACAGTATAAAGTTCAATGTGGCACAAGGAAAAGAAGGGATCATAGATTTTACATCTGGCTCAGAGTTGCTGATAGCCAAGGCTAAGAATGGACACCTTTCTGTGGTGAGCATTGATGATGAAATAAACTCGAATGGATGTTTATCAAGATTGTTTTTTTTGTTTTTTTTTCTCACTGAAATAACGAACCTATTTTTAATTTCTCAGACTGCCCCTCGCCTCAACTCAAGATGATGGACGAGTCATGACCAAGTACTTCCTGCGTTCTCACAGGATCTTCCAGATACGCTCCTTATTTCATCAATCACATGACTAAAGGTGGAGCTTCTCTCTGCCAATCAGACGCCAGCCAGCTGCACCAAAAGCCTCTGCTTTAAGTTGTGAAAATCCAGCAAACTTATTTATGTTTTGGGGGATTAATACTGTTATATGAATATTATGATTTTATGTCAAAGCCAAGAAATAACAATATATATGTGCATTTTCCTGCACTCTTGTCTTTATCTAGCTTATTTGGAAAATTTAAATTGGTTAGAGAAGGTGACCTCAGCCATGCTAATGAGGTAAATCAGGGTTCATAATGAGTAGTTATTAGCTTCGGTTCTATTTATGTTCACCCGTGGTTTACTTTTACTTTTCCATGGATTCTGCAATCCAAACCTACTCAGAACCAATACATTTTGCATTCATAGGAAAGATATTAATTACTTTTTGCATAGAGAAGATGACTTTGAGATGTTCACTTGAACGATTAAACCTGTTCTACAAACTATTTGTGCAACATAATTTTGCTCGCAAGTTATTAATATTAGCTGACGTGTTAAAAAGGAGGACAAACTTTTAGAGAGAGTACGCCAAGTGCATTGAGGGTGCGTGCCATGTATGAAAAGCTACCAAAAGAAATCTTAATGTTGATGGAAAGAATCTGCAAGCTATGTCTGGTGATAGCAACTATGCTTGAAAACCAGCCCCGTTTTTTTATATCATTCATTATTCTTTACCCACTTTAAGGGCTCAATCTGAGTTTGGAGATCAGTAAATATTTATTTTCTCAGTCCCAAATCTGTGCCTCAAAATGATAGGGTTAGAAAGTATCTTCGATGAGATATGTGATCCTGCAAACATGAGAAGAAATCCAGTGATGGACAAAAGAGAGATTTTTGAGAGTGGGAGGAAAGGCCACTCTCAAAAATCTCTCTTTTGTCCATCACTGGATTTCTTCTCATTTGAATCACTCTTGTATTAGGTGTATTAGGAGCTTTGTGCTCCTAATACACTGGACACAATAATCTGTCATATTAATGCCATTTCCCACATTAGCACTGCTCTAAGCTCACTGTAAAGCGTGTGAGGTAAGTTAGCCATAAGAGTAGGGTAAGTTGTATGTTATCTACAAAAAAATATGTAACTTGGCTTGTTTATTTCTCTGAGGCAGGTTTATGTATATGTAGATAAAAGGTAACAAAGCACTACTAAATGTTGGCAAACCAATAAATGTTATTTTAGAAACTAAAAAGTGGAAATTTGGCATACCCTTTGCACTGTAGGATTTCGGGCACCTAAAACTCTTGATAGCACAATTGTTTTATAATGCCCTGATGTCGTGACCGTCAAAGGAGAATGATCAGAGAAACATTGAGCATGTGCCAATCGTAGCTGTTGTCATAGTTGAGGATGCTTAAAAGAAAACACTGAAAGGAAACACGTTAAATGGTGGTGTATGCACAAGTGCTGCATGTAATGCGTTTAGAACAAATATCTATTTTTGACATTTTATAAAAAATAAAAATAAATACCCCAATATTGTCCACACAAACTCTTGGCCCCCTAGTTAAGATAATTCAAACTTGTGATTTTGTTTTATATATTTGTGTAAAATACCTGGAAGAAATCTCTCATTTTGAAGCAAACTGACAATGTATTTGAGCATATTAAAGCTGATTTTAAAAAGCATTGCCATGTCAGATCTGTATTTTTCATGGCATGTATGGGAATGGCTATTGTGCTCGCATTATTTAAAGTAAGTCACAACTTCCCTTATCTTTTTTCCTTATGATCTAGTGGAAATTTAATTTAGCATTTAATAGAAGCATTAATGCTATTAGCAAATTATCAAGCTTTGGTACCATGATCCAGGAAAGAAAAGAAAGGGAATGTGAGAAAGAGAGACTGATGGTGCCAATATGATATCACTGGCAATTGATATTGTTCACTTTTGTTTTTTTGTTTTTTAAATCGAGTCTGTACGATAAACTGCTAGAGTTGAATTACTTAGAATTGAGTGATTTCATTCATTAGTGTACACAGTGAATCAGCCACATGCAATAAATAAGACTAATTCGGAGAAGTGCACGAGTGACTCTGACTTGGGCGGAGATCCTTCAACTTCTTCTATTCTGCTGTTACACAATATATCAAGTGACTTGGGGAAAAAAAACATAGGCTACAGAATATTTCATATTTTAGACACCCAAAATGTTTTACTCTAGCGATGAATATATGTGTAATTTAGTAGTAGCCTACACATAATCCACAGAGTTTCGGATTTGACGATATGAGTTGTTCATAATAAGCTTACTGTGTCGCACGGGATAGTTTCACTTTCAGCAGCTATTAAATCAATAGGATTCTACGGAAGTGTGGGAATAATGCGTGTGACCCTGTAAGTTCGTTTATATGAAATCATTTCGCTTTGTTTTTTCGCTGTGCTTATTCGGAACGTATGTACATGATGTATATAGTAATTTTAATGGGGGTAGACTTTTTAAAGGAATCTCTGAACGATTTCCGGGTGTGAAGTATTCGCGCGAATCTTCATGTTAACCAACTGTCATCTTAAGTACATTTTAAACAAATGTTTTGTGTTTATATTTGTGATTGAAGTTATATTCATATACATTTTATTCATATACATTTCAATTAATCAATCATGTTCGTTGTTGTCGATTTGTCCGACCGATCTAAACAGAAAATGCTCCCTGAGCGCACTGTTGCCATAGTCACCTCCTCAAACGCCACTTAGCCAAAGGCTCTTTAATTATTCTATAGTCTTTGACTTAGCCTATTTGGGAGCTTGTGACTTTTATGGTTTGTGAAAATAGAGAGTTTCTGAAATAGGCCTATTTATATGTAAAAAAGAATAAAGTTTTGACTTTTTATACATGTTGTTTTGACTTCCTTTGGGGGCAAGGTTAGGCTTTAATTAGGGGCCCCCAACCCCCCCCCCATAATCGGGAACTTTTAAAGTGATGGATGTTGGACCCTGTAGCACAGAGATTCAACAGCGTCGCGTGGAGCTGGTGGAGAACTACAGCGAACACCTGACAGGCCTTCTGGACGTGCTGTTTAATGTGGGGGCCGTGACCGAGGAGGACCTCAGTCTTATTAGAGGTTCAGCTACTCGAGGTGAGCGAGAATGTATGCGAGTTCTGCTGGATGTGCTACATGGGAGAGGAGAAGAATCATGCAGGGCTTTTCTTTACATACTACCAAGTGTTCAAGATGAGACCGCCAAACTAGGACAGGCCAACAGGCAAGAGCATCTCAAAAAACACAAGGACATATTGGTCAGACAGCATGGCCTGGTGGACTATCTCAGCATCAGAGGACAGACTTTGGGACAGGATGAGACCAGGTGCTGGACTGATATCTCCTTCTCAAGACAAGCTGGTTATGCATCGTCTTCTCAATGCCGACATGAGTCAACAGGAGTTGGGGACGCTTTCAGGACACGAGCGGATGAGATCTGCATTTTCAAGGACGTGTTTGAGAATCTGCTGTGCAGCCCATCGAGTGGTGTGAACATGCTGTCAGGAGTTGCTGGAAGTGGGAAAACCACGGTTGTGAGACGCCTAGTGCGAGAGTGGGCTGCAGAAACCAACTTGACTAAGATTATCCTATCTCTGTCCTTTCGTGAGTTGAACCTCATAACTCAAGAGCAGAGCTTGCAGGACCTGCTCTCGGATCACTACATCCATCTGAAACCTTTCCTGCATGAGTTACTGAACTCAAACCCAACCCAGTTTTTACTCATCTTAGATGGTCTGGATGAGTTCTGCTACCCTCTTAATTTCGAACTCACTCCCAAGTGTTCAGATCCTGAGCGGGTGCAACCTATACAATCCATTGTGGTGAACTTAATCAAAGGAAATCTGCTTCCAGAAGTGTCCATTTTCCTAACTTCCAGACCTCACGCAGTCTCCAAAGTTCCTCCAGTTCTGGTCAGCCAGTTTTACAGTCTGCTCGGTTTCTCTGTAGCTCAGCAGAAGCAGTATTTTGAGCAGAACTGCAGTTCTCCTGAGGCTGCCGATGCAGTGTGGGCTTCGGTGTCGTCCCATAAGCCCCTTCTCCTCATGTGCCACATTCCCGCATTCTGTTGGATCGTGTCCACCGCCTTGCATGATGGCAGCTCCTGCCTTTGTCCTGATTCTGTAAGTGCCAAGCCAGGAGAAAAAGAAGGCCTTGGGGAAACCAACCAACCAAACTCTTCATTGGGATCTTCTGAGGAGAACTCAAAACCAGTCACAATCTCTGAAATCTACTGCTGCTTTGTTAAATCCGTCTTGCTATTCCATGTGCAAGGGCGTAGCGAGGGCTCCCATCACACCAGGCTTCAGCACGCCCCTCACGTCCTCGGTGAAATGCAGCCTATACTCAAAAGCCTGGGAGCTATGGCCTTCAAAGGCCTCCTGGAGAGACGGTTCATCTTTGAAAGCTCTGATTTGAACTCTTTTAATCTGGACAGCACCAAACTCTCACAGGTGTTCCTCTCTGAGATACTTAAAGAGGATCGAGCATCTCTCACCTTTGAAAAGGGCTTTCATTTTATCCACACCAGCGTGCAGGAGTTTCTTGCTGCTCTGTACTATGTTCTCCAGTCACTTTCAGGATCAGATCCATTTTCAGGCCTCAAACAGAGCACAGGCCACTACCTTAAATCTGCATTTAAGCAAATGGCATCAGCTGTTAACAAATTCAGCAGACCGCGGCGTCTCTTCTGCAGACGTATTAAGAAGGCCCTTCGCTGTGGTGAACGACATCAGTCTGGACACATGGATCTTTTCTGCAGGTACCTTTTAAAACTGCTGTCATATTAAATGCATTTCATTAGCAGGTCAATGATGTGACACTCATCTTTTGTTTGTCTTTTTATTCAATAATACGTAAAAAATGTAATTCACACTTACAGAGTATTGAATGCAAATCTTCAATAGAAATATCATATAAATTGGAAAGGAAAGGTTAGTTCAGGTTGTAAAATTTGGATTTACAATTACTCCATTTCATAACTGACCAGTTATTTCCGCTTATCCAGGTTTGTATGTGGCCTGCTGGTTCCTAGAACACGTCTCATCCTAAATGGATTTTTCCGTGATGGGCCCAAGATGCATCTGCTCCGTTGCCAGCCCTCTCCAGACCCGACTCCACCTTTCCTCCTCCATCTGTTACACTCCCAACTCCAGAGCTCCACCCTCAGCCCTGAGAGGCAGGTCAATGTTTGTCACTGTCTGTATGAGGCCCAGGACCCTGGTTTGTCACAGCGGCTACAGAGTTGGATGAAAGTTCTTTCACAGCAGGCCTCAGATCAGTCCGATTCGGTAAACAGGGACTGGAGCGAGCTGGCTTTCCTGTTACAGCTCAGTCCAGATCTGCAGGTTTTAAATTTAGATGCTCAAGGACTCGATGCTCAAGGACTATACCAGCTCCTACCAGCCCTTCCTCTCTTCTCGACACTCAGGTAAATACTGTAACTGTAGGTATAAATGTTCAGAGGCAGATGTGAAACACTCAATGTACATTTTTTATTTTTTTTGTGCTCTGTGATATTCATTGTATGTTCTTTACATAAAGCCTGGGCCAGAATCCTCTTGGTTCAGAGGGAGCATCTGTGTTATCCCTTGTTCTGAGAAACCCAGACTGTCGCATTCAGAGGCTGTGGTAAGTGAAATAAATAAATACAATTTTTATTTAAATAAAGTCATTTAAAATATATAAAATAAATAAAAATGTCAAATAAAAATATGTACAATAAATAAAATCGACATCACAAATTCTATATAAAATAAAATATTTAATAAATACTTCAATGCATAAATAAATAAAAGAAAATAGTCATGCTGCAAGCGCAAATTTATTATGGCTGTGTATGTTCAATATAGGGTGGTTGCGACAGGGCTTGGCTGTGAAGGCCTGAAGTTCCTCGTAGAAGCGCTGAAAGAAAATCGTACTGTGACTGATCTCAGGTGAACCGTGGGGGGAAAAAAATATTGTTTTGGCTACAAATACAGATATGTTGCACTTGTCTTATGTTTGCAGTATCATTCTTTCATTAGAATGGCCATTAATAAAATTGGAGATGTTGGAGCTGGTTATCTTGCGGAATTGTTGAGGACGAATCGCACACTGACGGATATCAGGTAAAAGAGACTCTGACATTTCAGTCTCTCAAATCATTTACTCATCTTTAAAGTTCAATGTGTTTAAACATTCTGCATCGTATAGACTTCGTGACAACCTAGTGACAGACAAAGGAGCAGAAGTCCTCATGGCTGCCCTGAAAGAGAACACTACATTAGAGTATCTGTGGTAAGAAAGATTTAGAGCTGATTTACTTCAGTTTATTTCCTCATGATTCTGTAACACAGATGCCACAAATATATTTTCTATTCATCGCAGGTTGTTTGACAACAAATTTACCAAAGATGGCGTCAAGAAACTGAAAGAATTTGCAAAGACCAGACCAAACCTTGACATTAAAGTTTGCATCTGACCCACAACCAACAAACCAGTGGAGTAGATCCCTAAAACATCATTTGCATTGCCGAGCTGGTTCATGACAAACATTTTATTCATACGTTATTTTACATATTGGTACAATTGCTCTGATATAATACTTTTAATACATATTAGACTGTTAAATGAATAGCTCACCCAAAAATGAAAAA